ACCATACGTTTACACCAATTATATAACATATATATATATATATATTATAAACTTTAATTTCTAGTATATCTTGTGCCTTTATTAATTAAATAGTTGATATTACGAATTCTCTATTTTTTTTTAATTTTAATTTTTAAGAATACTACGCAACTAATTACTTCCTTCCGATACAGCGGACCGAAAAAATTCAATTCTATTACATTATTTCACGTTTTATAATTTATAATATCTATAATAAAAATTCAAAAGTGTATTAAATGAAATATTTGAATTTTTAATTTAATACTTATTCCAATAAATCATATAACTTGGTAAAACAGTTTTTAAAAAAATCTTTAAATATTGATTCGAACAGTAATTCAAAATATGTATTGTATGTTCAATAATAAATGAGGCTAATATTCTTCAAAACAAAAAAATAATCATTAGCATCACCTATGGCACGGAAGTTAGTAACTATCTGGGAGTTAAAATTGCAGGAAAAACAATAATAAAATTTATAAATTTATAAATTTATTATACTTTACCTTCAACAAAGAACTCTAATTCCATTAAATATATATATATATATATATATATATATATATATAAGCTCCATATTATCGTAAAGTGTTAAAGAATAAAAAGTTGTAACACTAATAAATTGCAAGTTTGGAAAAAATAATCGAAGGAAAAAGTATAAACCTAACATAAATCATACTCTTAATACTTTCCACCACTTGTAAATGACACAGTTTTTTTATAAATCCAACTAATTTATGAAAATGTAGATGCTACTAATTTATGAAAAAAAAAGCAGTTGCTAAAACAGTTGTTTACTTTATTGATTATCACATTTCTATATAAAGAATTTGCAATCATTCTATCTATATGCGATTATTAGTTGTTAAATAAAATTTTAAAGATATATTGATGAAATAAAAAAGTAAAAGAATATATTGATAATACTTGATAGTTGAATAAATTATTATATTTATTTTAAAAGAAGTATTTTTTTGAAAAATTCTATTATTTTTAAAATTACGTTTGCAAAATCAATTTAGGAAGATTTACTAATACATCATATAGAGCAAAAGTTTCACTAGCAATAGTGTTTGTATATTCTCATTAATAACTAATAATACACATAATGAAATAGATTATAGAAAAGTGCCAATTATCCGAAAAAAAGCTCGTTAAACGACAAGATTTTTACAAAGAAATATCGAGAATTGTATGTATTAAATATATAAAATAATGCTTCTCTGAAGCATTAAAAGAAAAATGAAAAAGAGATGAAATATGTATATACAAAAATAGTCATAACCCCGAGCAGTCAATTTTCATTTTAATTTGTTTTAAGGAAGTTTCTCATATGAGAAAACAATAAACTCTTGCAAAGGATTAACGATCGAGTCAATTTGCTCTACGTATCATCCATGTAATGTACTATATAGTGCACTACGTCATTCTGTATTGTTGTTTATAGTGATGTAGTGCCTCACACACTAATATTAAGTAATGGATTTAGAAAAAAGATAGTGAAGAGAAAATACAATACCTCTGAGATCTTTTTCAACAAACATATTATCAACTATTATATTAAGTGTCTCAAAGTGTGTAAACAGTATATAAAAATATATCATACGCATATATTAAAGTATTCTTTTTATACGTAATTAAGTATTTTTTAACTAATCATTATTAGGTATATAGGTAACTAATCATTATTATTATATAAGTTTTACGGCTATTATTACATATATAAGCTTTTTATAAATATAATAGAAGACCTAACGAATATAATATTAGATTGTTAAATACTTCGTTGAAGTTTAATATTTTCAATAAAAATGTCGAAGGCTTACTAACCCATTGTGTACAATATATTTTTTAAATTAACTATAAAATAAACAAAATTCAATTGCAGACTCATATATAAACATATGAATAAATTAATTATCATATTTAATCTGAAAATTTCTATTTCATAAATCGCTTTGACAGATGCTTTTTTCCAAAATTTTCAGAGAAAATCTTATCTAGAGAAAAATAAAATTAAACGAACTGATAAAATTCGAGAATAAATGTTTGCATACCAAACATCGGACCATCTACATTGTCGCTGTTATCATAGACATTTATTTATAGATTTTTTTTCTCATTTGTTTAGAACTTATTTTTTCTATTTTAATATAAGAAGGTAAGAACTGTTGAGTATAGTATACAACTATATTCTTAATATTTATGATAAATATTATATACAATACAACCACTCAATATATCATAAATAAATTTATTAATAAAATTCATACTTTCGTTTCTACTTAAATATTACCTTCATTTATATGTATATGTTACACATGCAAAGATTTTTATATTATATATATTTTTAAATTAATTTTCTTTTTCTAAATATTTGCTCAATATTATTATAATATTTAAACAAAAATAAATATTTACATTCAACTATTAATGTCAAAATTTCTTTATACAAAAATTAATATTTTAAAACTTAAAAATGTCTAAAATTTTGGAAAAAAGAATGACTATATAATGACTATACAAATTCATATATTTTTAAGTAGTATATATCAATATTTGTATTTCGAAACATTTTCTCCCACCATAATATAAAAAATCTTTGCAATAAAAACTAATAATTAATATTTATGAAATATATCATTACCAATATATACGACAATTTAGCTGAGTTCGTATAATCAAATTAAAAATAAATTTTTGGGCAAGCAAGTTTTTAAGTAGTATATACTACCAGTGTGGCCGAAGAAGTCATGTCAAATAACCGAATAGACACTTTCCAAAGCCATTCTGACTAAGAAGTTTCCTCTTGCCCAGTCAATTAACAAATTCTATGATATAACTTTTTTTTCTTACATACTTTTTGCACTTTTTCCAATTTTATTATTTTATTTCAATTTTTCGTTTTGTTTAATATAAATATATGACATGAATAACAATAATATGTACGCTTTATCTGTTATATATTTTCATTAGAACAATTGTGAGAATATTAATATTTATTTCATTTTTATAACTACTTTTTAATCATCTTTTTAAAAGATGATTATATTTAATCGAGTTCCATCTTAAAAATGATATATTAGAAATATTATTCTTATAATTTGTTATTTATTATTTTTATATTAATGAAATTATTTTTTTTTAAAAGTAAGTTAAGCATTAAAAGGTAAATTCTTGAATTTAAATTTCATGTAATCAAAAAACATTTTAAAATTTTATAATAATTTTAACATAGATGATTTGGGCTTATCTATAAGCTTTCCAATTTCTACGCTATACTCAATTAATATTTGTAACGGTGTCTTAATATGCTATTAATTTGCAATAAAAATAAAAATACGAAATTTTTAACATCCTAGATAAAAGTTTATGTATGTATATATAAATACTAATTCTGGGCTTTCTGAATTATAATTATAAATAGGTTTAGATAACTGATAGCCATTAGCTTTATTTTCAGTAACAGTCTTTAAATATTAAAATGCAAGCAGATATTTGTAACTAAAAATATACTTATCATTATATATTTTCAAAAATTATTAGTCATACAATCCATAACGATACACCTATATTGGAAATTCTAAAATTGAAAAAAAATTTTAAATACAAAATTTATTTAATCAATCAAATATTTTTACTTAAAAAATTGTTTTAAATATATTTACGTAGTTTTCATTATATATTAAATATTAAGCATCATCAATTTTTTTTCCAATTTAATAAACAATCTTCATAGGTATGTTGAAAAGTTACAAAAAATATTAATACTAGTATTATATAAAACTTATAAACGTACACATTTTAATGTCAGATAATCGAATTTTCAAACACGTTGTAGGAGTTAATTGTATTTGACAGTTTCTATCCGTGGACCAAAAATCTTTCCAAATAAATATTTATAAACAAACTTTAAGGATATATATAGAAATAAAACTATTTATAACAATGTCCAAATTGGAAAAAGAATAAAATTGTTTTTTCTTTAAAGAACTTTCGATTAAACAAGAATTTTATGAGAATAGCAAGAAAAAGGAAGTGACAATTTAATTTTTCATTCAATCACCGTAAACAATTCTAGAAATACACAATGATTTTCTGTTTTTCATTTAACATTCTCGATTTAATGAGATTATTACATTCCTAAAATCTTATTGAATTTCCGAAAAAATTTAATTTTTGACACTCAGATAGAATGTGTCATTTACAAGTATTGTGAAAATATTTTCTATTATATATAATCTATAATATCTTTTTACATTTGTTTAAGTAAATAATGACGTACTTACAGTAATAACTTGTTTTTACAAATATTTAATTAGTCGAGACGATAACTTTAAATTGGTATATTCGAAAAATACTTATAGTATTTGATTTTTATAAACAAATTTTCTTACATTTAAGTAATAGGTATTTTACTAAACGGCTTCTAATAATTTTTTATCTACCAAAGTTTTTATCAATATACATTTATACATTTATCCGAAATAAAAAATATAAATATTAACAAATATATTAATATACATTTATGAATCTGATCAATTTCAATTGTCAATATAAATTGAAATAATAACTTTAGACCAACTAATATATATTTTGTAGAAAAACAATAAGATATAGAATGTTATATTTAAGTTGTTCTTTAACAATCATATGAGTAGTTCGCTAAAATAATTATGTCTTCCATATTTTATATTCTAATTAACACTCTGTTATATGATATTCTTATAAGCTACTTTATTACACATAAAGTGATTATATCGACAAATTAAGAAAAATGTCGATTATTATATCCGATTATACATATAATAGTTATATAATGAAATACAATGTAAAAAGTAAATGATCGAATCGAGGCGATATATTGATTTTATAACATTTAATATTGCAATAGAGTGAGAGTATATATGAAGTCATATCGTTATATTATACTTAATAGCAAATACTAGTGTAATTTCCGTTATGGATTTCTGTTTTAGCCACACAAATCAAACAGCCAAGCGCTTCAGCTCCAAAGTGTAAGCCTAAATTCAACAGGCTATTATATATGTGAGGTGAACACCGATAGTCCGCCATTTAAAGCAGTGAAGGGGGAAGCATACATGGAAGTTATAGGTGAGATCATATTGCGTTCAATTTCGTCTAAAGTATTCATCGCTTTAATTATTTTCTCACAGAATTAAGAAGACAGAATATACAAACAGTGGTAGATATAAGTAGTACAGATGTATGGTAACTCAACTCAGTTGCTTAATACATTTCATAAATTTGAATGAAACATTAAAAATCTGTGAGATATTGATAGCAATGTTTATTAAATTTTAATCAAAATTAAAAATAATCAAGTTCTATAATTGATTTTAAAATATAAAGTTAGAGATCGATAGAAATATTTTGTTCTATAATTAAAAAATGTTTAATTATAGTAGTTCATAGAATTAATTACTTTATTTAATACGGTAAATTTCATTTTGAGATATTGATTTCATAAATGATACTCGCTCTATTAAAATTGATAATTGCGATTTTCATTGCATTGTTATTACCAATATTTTTTTAACATTGTTATATCATTATTATTCTCTTCCTCAATAAATTAAATCAATTTTGTTCAATTATTTTAACTATAATTTAATTATCATAACTATTAAACCATATTATTGAACTATGGAGCTTGAAATACTTGAAATATAACTAAAGGTCCCAAATACTTTATAATTTTATTATAATATTATATTGGCCATTGTAAATTATATTAACTATTACAAATTATTATCATTTATCCTCATGAAATACTAATGTTATATATCCCCTGTACTTTAATTTGTCTTGTATATAGTTTTATCTGTGGGTAAATCATGTTAAAACTTTTAGTGAATTAGCAAAATAATTAAAAACTAACAATTTAAATTTTAATATTTAAGATGATTTTTATAATGATTTTTATATAACATTCGTAATAATTCTTTATGCCTTTAAAATTTTATTGATTAATCATCATTTTTATGTCAATCATAGTTTTTAGGTTGCATCAAAACTTAAAATTTCAACGATATGGTGCAAATGAATTACAAATGAAAATTGATTGCGTTTGGATAATTGTATGCAGTTATTTAATCTTAAAAATTAAACAGCAGTTTTCTTTGCGATATTCTATGTCTTTAATGCGAAGATAATCGTAAATTACAATTTTAATAAATCATAGGAGACAGTTTATATTTAATAATAAATATTTTAATTAATAGCAATAACGTCGTTGTCAAATAAAAGAGTACAAATTTATAAATAATTGTGTGATAATGAAGTGATAAATAACAAAGTATTAAATATATACTTTGACTAGTAGGATATAAAATAAGTTTTTGCTAACATTTTTTAAAAATTATTATATAAAATTTGTACTAAAAAGACAATCCATTTAAAATTAAATTTTAATATAGATTTAGAAGAAGCTAAAAAGTTTTTGAGGTTCAAATATGTGTAAAACAACAAAAAATACAAATACTTGTGAACTCTACATGAATAAAAATATACAATGCAAGGGAATAATGTAATAAAAATATTAATTAATAGATATATGGTGAAAGCTAAAGTAATAAAACTAATTAAATTCTCTTGGAAAAATTTTTGTTGTTGTAAAATATTAATATAATTTCCGTACGCGAAGTTACTATGCACCAATTAATTATGGATTAAATTTTTATAATTGTAGTATACAATTGTATAATAAAAGGAAAGTCTTAAAGCAATATTATGACATTTAATACCCATCAATATGAAAGAGATTATTGACTTTTACAAAAATATAATTAGTGCCTCCATTTTGAATCAGACCAATGGATCCATGCATTTAACTTTAATATTGATGCAAAATTTTGAATTATAAAAAAAAAACTAATTATTATTATAAACAAATTAGTTAACTGGAGTATATAGATGTTATATAAATAATATGAGTAAAATATATTATAATAACTAAATTTTATATAATTCATAAGTCAATAATTAGTTATGAAGAATGTCAACGATGGCGGAAAGGAAGAGAATGTCAAACAAGTTAATATTATTAATTTTGCTGAAAATTTTCAATATTGTAACTATTATTCTATCAAAATTAATTTTATAAATAATAATTTAAGAATTGGTCGTCAGAAGAATGATATATGACAATGTATATATTTACAATATATAGTCCATTTCATACTTAACCGAATTCACACACGTGCGCGTGCGCGCATATATACATTCAGAAACAGCTATACACATACACACACGCGCGCATTCACGCATTTTATTTCATCATGTAAATGATCATTTGCAAAATTCTACCTATTTTTATCGATTGAATTAAATAAATGTGTGTTATGTCAAGTAAGTAAGTATGATTGTAATTGCATATACCCTTATTAGCATAATTTTCGAAGATTGTTTTAAATTAAAATATATATGATCATATTTAATTATTTTTTCTCTACATTTATTTTACTATATTTTATCTTTTTTTTTCCTATTCCTCTTTTAACTGCATAAATTATCTTAATTTTTAAGAAATAAAATTTTAAATATATCATCTCATCATAATTTTCCTAATTTTAATTCAATATCGTTCAATTATATATAAAAATAGACTAGAACGGATGTTTTTTTCTCTGTTCTACATTCATTATTTCTTATTTTATGAATTTATTTTCAAAAGTTTAACATTCAAAATTATATCTTGATTTTTTTCTCGTATACACCATTAAAATATCTTTAATGCAAAAATAGTTATAAAACTTGAGGAACACACCGTATTAAGGTATATTAAGGTACGAGACGAGATTCTCTCTCAAGCGTAAATTGGACCTGTGAATATATTTGAAAGTAGCATAGTCTCACTATATATAAAGCCGTTGATTTGTAATTACAATTTTCCTGCTGTCGTAATTAAATGATGTCGTCTATGTAAAGCTTGAACGTTAAATAATGTCAGATGAAATGTATAATGAAAATTTTGAAAATCTAAGATGTAATTTTCCTCCTAATAATATGAGAACAATGAAAGACAATTAATGTATGTTTATATGAATTTTCTTGATAAACAGTTTATGATTTTTAATACGTTTAATAATATGTCGTATCTTCATTACATATGTAATTATAAAGATATAAACGCAGAATCTTGATTCGAGAAATTTATTTTATTTATAAAATAGAGAAATGTAAACAAATAGTTATTTCGATTAAATTTTTATAGGAACAAGCATTTGCACGAGGCAACCATCTTTTTACATATTTTTCGTTATATTGTATCAATCAAGAGTAACAAATAAATGATTGAAATTAGATAATTAGAAGACGCAGAATCAATTGAACTTCTTAAATAATTCTTGCAACGCTTACCGTTAGAAGAGAATTGAAAGCATGAGTTGCCGATGAATCTATTTGTAACAAATTAATTTTTCTATTATTATTTTGTTTTGGTCTTTAAAAATATTCTGATAGTGAAAACATTTGTTACATGTTTCAAATGAGCTCAAATTGTATGCTATAAGAGATTTTTTTTAATTTGTTGCCGATTGATAGATGAAATTCCTTAATCTTGTAATATGGAAACACTACCAAAAAAAAAAACTGGCAAAAAAATTTAGTTTAAGCTGGAATATTAAAATTTCATTATAAAAATAACTTATAGTATAGTCGGTAGCTGCATAAAATCAATATGATAATGATGAGTTTTCGCTTCTATTTGTATTTAAATATGCAATCACGGGTGTATGAACTACGTAATAAGTCAATTATATAAAGCTAATAATAAATCTTAATTATTATGTTGAAAAACTTAAATTAAATTATTTATTTCACATGGTTAAATCATTTATATTGATTATTATTTCAATAATTCATATTTATTATTGGCAAAATTATATATAAACGCATATTGAGAATTAATTATGCGGATCGAATTAAATTAAATTTTATTACGAATCTATATTTATCGTTTAAGGTATTAAGGTATTTTCCAGAACTTTTTAAAATTTATTTCTAAGGATAGGTAAAATATATATTCAATCATTTTCAACTAATGTGATCTCTTGATAAAAATTGTATCAACAAAAAATTTTTAATATTTCCTTTTATGAGCGAAAGTTATCCGCTTGAAATATTATGAAATCTGCTTGACTAAGAAAAATAAATTACCGATTGAAATCTGTTTCATTGTGAAAATTAAAATATGCTAGTAAGAGATAAAAACAACAAATAAAGACAAAAATAAACTGTGTTAAAGTACTATAACTTTAATAAGAGTAAGGATGTGTGTGTGTGTATTTGTGTGTTTTACGTTTTGTATGTGATTGTGTGTGGGTGTATTTGTGTGTTTTACGTTTTGTATGTGATTGTGTGTGTGTGTATTTGTGTGTTTTACGTTTTGTATGTGATTGTGTGTGTGTGTATTTGTGTGTTTTACGTTTTGTATGTGATTGTGTGTGTGTGTATTTGTGTGTTTTACGTTTTGTATGTGATTGTGTGTGTGTGTATTTGTGTGTTTTACGTTTTGTATGTGATTGTGTGTGTGTGTATTTGTGTGTTTTACGTTTTGTATGTGATTGTGTGTGTGTGTATTTGTGTGTTTTACGTTTTGTATGTGATTGTGTGTGTGTGTATTTGTGTGTTTTACGTTTTGTATGTGATTGTGTGTGTGTGTATTTGTGTGTTTTACGTTTTGTATGTGATTGTGTGTGTGTGTATTTGTGTGTTTTACGTTTTGTATGTGATTGTGTGTGTGTGTATTTGTGTGTTTTACGTTTTGTATGTGATTGTGTGTGTGTGTATTTGTGTGTTTTACGTTTTGTATGTGATTGTGTGTGTGTGTATTTGTGTGTTTTACGTTTTGTATGTGATTGTGTGTGTGTGTATTTGTGTGTTTTACGTTTTGTATGTGATTGTGTGTGTGTGTATTTGTGTGTTTTACGTTTTGTATGTGATTGTGTGTGTGTGTATTTGTGTGTTTTACGTTTTGTATGTGATTGTGTGTGTGTGTATTTGTGTGTTTTACGTTTTGTATGTGATTGTGTGTGTGTGTATTTGTGTGTTTTACGTTTTGTATGTGATTGTGTGTGTGTGTATTTGTGTGTTTTACGTTTTGTATGTGATTGTGTGTGTGTGTATTTGTGTGTTTTACGTTTTGTATGTGATTGTGTGTGTGTGTGTGTGTGTGTGTGTGTGTGTGTGTGTGTGTGTGTGTGTGTGTGTGTGTGTGTGTGTGTGTTTGTTTGTTTGTTTGTTTGTGTATGTAATAGATGGAACGAGGAAGGGAGAAATTATAAAATGGAATATTTATATATTTAAATATTTATCTACTTAAGAATATATAGTATTCATTAATATTATATATATTATTAATATTATTTGGATTATAAAAAGAAATATGAACAATTTTTGTTCGCACTTATATCTGATTTGTTGATCAAATATAACATATAGGTACATTATAATTATTTCGTGAGTTTTAATATATTCCTATTGATGGAAATGTTGTTCCAAGTCTTTTAAGACAATGCCTAATAAACCTGTACTACGAATTCTGACTTCCATAGAAAAAATCTTTCATATATGGAATGATATTTGAAATTGATGCATAAACTGATGCTCATAAATTAATTATCTCATCAAATTAAGATCATGAGTAGTTTTCATTATTTTATTATTATACAATTCAGATATAGTAGCAGGGTATTACAAAATATAGTAAATTCGTAATAATTCGCGATAAAATTATAAAATTTGTCGTTATTTGTTAAATAATTGTATTTTATGTGATTTATAAATTTCTTAATTATGCATTCATTTCCTGTATGAAAATTAAAAACTAGACTCTTTTAAAGATGACTTATAAACATACTTTAAATTCATTTATTTTACCTTTTTCTTAATTTATCTTATATATTAAGAAATATCATGAATATCTCATTATTGTCTAATTATGACTTTCTAAATTTTAATTAAATATTTCTTAATTATTTATAAAAATAATAATCTTTAGATAATATCTTTTCTTATTTATAATTCATTAACTAATTTTATATTTAAAAGCTATATTGTGATTTCTTCCCTCATATACATCATAAAATTCTTTTTATTCAAAAATAGAAGTAAAAACAGAGGAGGAAACGATATTAAGGTATATTAAGCTGAGATGAGACTCTTACTCAAGCGTAAATTGCACCTGCAAATGTATCTAAAAGTAGTATAAGTTTTGCATGTGCAAAGCTGTTCGCTTGCAATTAAAATACTCCTACAGCTATAATTAAATGATTTGTACGAAAAAACTTGTTAAAGATGAAATGCATCGGTTCCATTTGTAGTGGCGTACATATTAATAAAAATTGCATAGAAAAAAGTATCTATCATTCTGAATTTAAAAGGGTTGATAAACGATAAGCAGACATTGAATTACTTTAAAGTTGGACTACTCGCTTGTATTTACAAATACCGAAGAGATGAAAACTAATGCGACAACATGAGAGTTTTCTTATAACTCTGTCATGTTACTAAACGTCTAATTTTTTCATGAGTTTACTACAATTTTCATTGTTTTCATGTGCAAGATTCTTAGTAATAACGAGGTAATCAATTTTTTTATTTTTTATCACTTTTATGTATAAGGTACCTAAGAAATTTATGATTAAACATTTTTTAAATCTCCGTACACTTTAATGTGAAACTATATGTTGGAAATTTATGGTAATATTTGCTTTTTTATATTTTTTGAGATGAGGTTGGTTCAATGTAACGTGAATTACTTTCTTAATTATTCTTGAAATTCACTAACACTCAACTATAAACCAAGATGCATTTTTCACATAAATAGAACTAATAAATGTAATAATGAAAAATGAGATTTATTAAATTTATTAACTTGAAAGTAAATTAAAAATTAATGAAATACTTAGTATATAGGAAGAGAAAATTTGTGTTATTAAATAAATGTTAAACATTAAATATTAAACATTTTGATAAATTACCAACAATTGAATTATTTATATATTCATTTTATTTCGATCTACTTTCCATTTTTCCGAAGTTATTCTTTAATCTTTTGAATATGTGTACGTAGTAATTATCTATATAGCCTTGCACTAGTAACAGCTCCCTTTATTTATTGAACATATTTATTTTACTCGCATTTTGCTATCTATTACATAAATATTTTAAAATATACACAATTTTAAAGAACAATGAATATTCAAATCATTCAGTTTTAACCTTGTACTATAAATTTATTCGAATTAAAAGAAAAACTGTACATATATAGATATATACAGTTACGTAAAAATAGAAATATTCATAAACTCATGTAGTAAATATTAAATATTCTTCGTTTAAAAATAATTTTTTTATTCTTTGTCGTATAATTACTTTTAACTAGCCTTTTGGATTGAGTGTATTCGTTTTTCCTGCCCAACTACTTTTGATTAAAATATTTTTTCCACCTTTAGTTTTTCGACATACACAAATCTATTTTTTAATCTTAAATAATAAATGAACTCTTTAACATTTTATTGTATTATAATTTATTTATAAATCTTCAAATTTGCCAAGATTTTAGATTTTATTAAATCACTTTCCTGTAAACAATTAAAATTACTTAAATTATTGAAACAGATATTCTGTAATTATAAATAAGGATAAAGGATTTTTATAGCTTTAAAGTATTTAATATTATGTTATTATCTTATATACTGTGTTTCTCGCCATTTATACTACCGCAATCTATTATTTATCTACTATTGGTTGATTTTACCGAATATAAAATATAATAATAATTATTCCACTCATGTTACTTAATGCTACTAACCATTTACTAACTTTATTTATTGCTCTTAAGCTTTTTACAATCATGAACATAAAAAGCGATTATCATATTATCTAGAAACCATACATTGAAGCTATTAAGATATTAAACATATTTAGTTTGATTATTAATTTTTATCTATTATAATTACGAAAATATATTTAAATTATTTCAATATAAATTCCAAAAGAATTTAAAATATTAAATAATTAAATAAATTAAATATTAAACAATAACAGACTTATCAATGATTGAATTATAAAATCAGCTTACTTATACTATGTAACATAATAATTTTATAAAAAATATATTATTCGGTTATTTTCTTAAATTTATTATTTATAATAATGTGTAATGATTTATTATTGTCAATTTAGGTATATTCACAATAATAAATTTTTTTATCGTCCTTAAATATATCTGAACCCCAGTTGAATTACTTTGTTGAAATAAATAAATTCTATACACTAATAAAAATAAAAAGAATTAATTAAAAATTCTCAATATGTCAAAGACAATAAAAAGACTGAAATTCTTTACAAGAATTATTATCATACTTTATTGTTAAATATTTTTGTTCCTTTACCATATTTTTTCATTTGTAATTAATGAATAATAATTGTATTTGTATTTACTGAACAAAATATAAATTTTGTTTTATTTTGTTTTATATAATTTATAACATATAATATATCGAAAAAAAATACTAACTATATTTAATTCATTCATATTATATGATGTAAATTAATTAAAATAACATGAATACATGTTTAAATAGAAGTTTCTCTTTAAGACTTTCTCATTTTTATTACTAGAAAATTGAATTTGTACCAATAATTTCCATTTAATAAATAATAAATAAATAATTATGTGATATGTATGTATAATTGATAAAAATTTGATTGATACATCAATAGTATTACATAGCCGTGAAAAAAGTTGATATTATATTCTAATCTATAATTTACGTAAAATACTTTAAACACTACAATGGTATTCGATCCTATTAAACAGAAAACTGTTCGTTAAAAGGAAACGAAAATTTATCAATAAAGTATAATGATTAACAATGTTACAAAAATTTTACAAAACGACATGTATATTGTAAATGTAAGGGACAAAGACGTAACTATCGTTATTAGTGAGAAAGCCAGAATTACTTTCCTGAAAGATCTGCGTGATTGTCGAGTATTGAAAATTTGTGGGCTTTTTCTGTTCACAGAGCCTCCTCGAGATGAGCCAAAGATTACCGGAGAGGAAAAGATTTACGCCACCGGCGATATTCTCGCCCTGAATTGCACTAGCGGCTTCTCATATCCAGCAGCTCGGTTACAGTGGTTCATCAACAATGTTCCGGTAAGTCCAACTTTCTACTCACAAAGTGTCAATTGTTTCCTTCTATTCGTTCTTTTATACCACTATTGGTTTCACTCTTGCACAATACAAATCGCCATGGAATAGATAGATATATTTTCTTAAAATTATTTTTCAGAAGAAAATAATTAAAGAATGATTATTCTAATTCCATTGAAAGTGCCCGTCACCTCACTTATATTTAACTAGTATTGGAAATTCTTGAGTTAAATTAAAGATTTAACTAATTTAAGGGATCATTCAAGGAGAGACTTTAAAAATGCCATTACAATTTCAAATAGTTTATTTGCGTGTTTAAGGATATTTATAGGATTACTCCAAAAATTTATTTGGTATAAAGAAGCTAAGTTAATATGAGAAAAAAATTAAAGCATAATTTTTGTAGATTATATATACCTAAAACTTATTTATAAAAAGTTATTACTTATGAATGTCAATATAAGTTTCCTAATTACATGTACTTGCAAATATATATTCTAAATTTAATATATATATATATATATATATATATATATATATATATATATATATATATATATATATATATATATAGCGTAACAACATAACTAACGACAATAATGTTAATAATCTATTAATTTAGTAAAACAATTTTCACTGATAAATATTATGTGCATTCTAAAACTTTACTTTCATATCTAGTTTTTAAATTTTTATTTAAGAAATGTTCAGACTTCTTATCAAATAATTCACATAAGTGAAAAGATAAGTAATATCAAAATTATTATTGTATTATTATTGTATTATTAGAATATGTAATAAATCTACAAAATAATTTCCATACAATAATGTTGAATAAAATTCATATTTACCAAAAAAATATTAAAAGATGTAAACGTTCAGATTCGTTTTAAGAATATTAAATAATTCAAGATGTCTTTAGCATTCGCGGCACAGTAATTCACGTATTTTTCTAAAAGGTTGGCATAAATTTTAAAATACAGTATAGTTTTGTAATATGTTTTCGTAAATGAAAAATGATTTATAATTAAATTGTTGAAAGAAAATTCATTCCCCATTACCAGATTTAAGTTTAAACTGTACTATTTAAATTACAATATAGTTGTAACTAGGATTATATTAAAAAAAAAAAAAAAAAAAAAAAAAATTCGATTAATATCATTACTCTAAATAAATAAAACATGATTTCAGAGTATTTATGTATATACTTTCTATGAATCTCAGTACAATGTCATACTTTAATAAATTGGACAGTGAGAAACTGTTACAAATATCCTGTTAATCTTTTTTACTTATGTATGCGGTATTTTGTATAATACGTACTATGCCGCTCCATCAAATTCTTTGCAAAACTACATTACTTTAATCTGTTTCAAATAAAAAGACTTGATTCTTATCAGCGTGCGAGTGTTGTACTCCATCTCATCCTCTCGGTCGTCACTTTTCCTTTACATTTCTTTTTTTCGAACCCTCTAATGGATTACGTGCCACGATAACACTCATGAATACCATCTGACGACGTACAACTATGTATGTATGTATATAGTGGCTGACAGGCGAAAGTAAGATGGTAGATGAACGAGAATGATGATGATGGGAGTGTATGATAGTAGGAGTACCCACTCGCGACTCAACCAACGTAATCAGATTGTAAGAGAGAAAAAAAGATGATAGTGGAATCAAGAGTCTTCAAAGCTCTAGCCAAGCTTAAAAATGGTTTAATCTCAAATCTCTTTCTTTTCGTCGTTCATCTCCTTTGCCTAGTAAAGAGTTACAAAGCTATCCTCCCTGATGTGTAAAGGTAGATTCGCACATATACATGATAATTCAGTTCTTAAACTAGCACCCGAGCTTATACTCAAAGCCAGATTAATATAAATCCAACGATTCTCTCGTTAATTGCGAAGTTCCGTCAGCACCCGATTAACTTGCTTGTTCACTCCTTCCTTATCACTCTATCTCAGTTACTCTTATTTAATTGTAATCTTTTTTTAATGTCTTTATTTCTTCGATTCTATATCAAAAACTGGCTTATCTTCATACATCTTGTACATTATAGTTTAGATAAAATCTAGTTCTTTATTATTTTATTATTCTAATGTTATATATATATATATATATATATTGTATATTGACAGCTAAGCAATATATTAATTATATATAAGTTACAAATTTAAAAAAAAATACAGTAAAATATTTTTTTCCTATCAATATTGCAAATCTCAATTATTTATTATTTTACCTTATCTCATATTTTACTTGACTATTCCTATCTTAAACTAACTTGAAATCAATATATTTGCTACAAGTATAATTAACTGCAGAGAAAATTGAATAGCTTTAAATTAATGTATAAAAAAAAAATATTTTTTACATCTCTTTTAACTATTTGTATCTAAATATTTATTTATTGATTTTTATTCAATCTAAGATTTAAATATCAATGTGATTTATAAAATAAATATTAAAAATTATAAAATATTTTATGAAATCATATATCAAATATTGAACAATATACATTTAATGTATATCATAATAATAATTATTATTCGTCATTAAGCGTAAAAAAAATTATGAAACTTTACCACGTAATATCACATTTTTATTAAAAATAAAAGCACTTTTAAAATATGAATTAATAATTATACATTAGACATATAATATAATCGTTAAAGTAATACATCGTACTTTATAATTACAAGATTCAAATCAATAAAACAAATTAATTTTAAAAATATTTATTGAATTATGCAAAAATCAATAGACCAAAAATAGAACGTGTTATATGCGGAACTGATAATAGATTTGCGCAGAGTGAAATTTTTGATGATTTAAGTTGTACGCGTACGATCAAGTTTAAATTTATTTATCAGGAAAGTGAATGACAAGTTACTGTCACTTTAGATAAATACACAGTCAAGATTATTGCAAATACGTATTGCAAAACTCGTAAAATGCAAATTCTATATGATTATTTTCCTCTGTTTATTATAAATTAAATCTACTTGGATTTAAAAAAATTTAAATTATACTAAGTAAAATGTATTTTTATTTCATGAATCGGAACTTATATGTATTTTTTTTTGTTTTTATTAATTTTCAAACTCTTACAATTTCTCTTTTATATTTTTCAGATTGATCCAGATTCAGAAGTATTACATTTATCATCTCGTGGCCTTCACAGTACTCGCTCAAGTTTACGACTCGAACTTTATCCACTTCATATAGCTGACGGTAGAATAGAAGTCAAGTAAGAAAATTAAGCGTATTATTTAAAAATTGAATAACTAAATAATTTTTGTTGTATGGCCTGCATACGCGCACGCACACACTCATGCGTAATGTATAAACTGTATATATATGGGAGTCGATTACGTACAATTAACTTTTCTATCTGAATACGTAGTTCTAGATGATTTATTATAATAAAAATATAGAATAATTATTGATGAATTGATGAAGTACTAAAGTACTATAATAAAATGTAAATATGTGATTTGTGAATTATTTATCTTTAATTTTTACCAGTTATTAAACATTTTTATTGATATCCAATTTATTGATATTTCAAATAAATTCGTAAAATTATTTTAAAATCAAAATTCATTGGTTATAAAAATATAGAATAATAAATATTTTTTTATTTTTTACATATATCATAAATCTATTTAAATTTAATGGAAATATTGGCAAAAATGAAAGTAATTTCTTTTTTTACATGCAGGTGTGTATCTCTAGTAACAACGTCACCTTTAGTCAGAACACCTTTTGTGGATACACGGACAACTAAAATTTACGGTAAATGAAATCGAATTATATTATATCTGAGCATTTTATTTCAATATTTTGTTATAAATAATATTTTTATATAAATATAAATAAAATTTTTCATGTGTCAATTCAAGATTTTATTAACATTCATTAAAATAAAAGTTAATTTAAAACAACATATGAGAGCTATTTATTTATTCGATAAATATACGAAATTTATGAATAATTTAATATTGTGTATTGAATATTTGCAATAATGACTAAAAGATTAAATTACTTTTCCCCGTTGCTTTTATTTATATTTATAGTTAGAAGTGAAGAAAATTATGATTATTATTATATATTTATATTTTCAAAAATGGAATATAAATATTGAAGGTAGATAATTGCTTTTCAAGAATACTGAAAATCTTGTAATAACTAGAATATTTCCATTCTATTCAAAGCACATCTAAACCTTTACTAAATTCAAAATCCCGCGAGTTCAATCTCAAAGTGAGTTGATGTTAGGGAAAAACAAAAAGGGCCATATACAATAGTTATAATAGAACAGTAAAGTCCTAATGATGCTTCATACAAGAGCTCATTGATTATAACGAAGTGTTTTTGAATTAGTGGGTCACGAGGGAGGAGACGAAGTTGGATAGGCATTCGTAAACTCACAAGCTGGGGCTTGTATATTTAATTCGAATAGCCGATTAACAACGTTAAATCCAATTTGCTCGACATTCACAGGCTCACCTTCTCCTAGCTTAACAAGATTATCAATTACCGAACCGCTGTTACGCCCTAACAATTATTTATTAGTATAATGATTTGATTTCATACACCAGGTGCTCGTCGAAACAATGTATCGAAGCACATTTCCACGTAGTGAAATAGCAAGAATTATTCGTTTTCCCAGTGATTTTTGCCTCCGAAGCTTCAATCATTCGTCATAAAGCTTTCATGCCTATGCTGATAAAACTTACCGTTTCACTTCCACTTCTTTGTAAAATCAAAAAATTCAGACATTGTAGTAAAATTTCTCTAGGTACTCCTGTTACTCGAAGATTTAACATTTTACGCATTTATTTCAATACTAATTCAAATATTTTATTTATTCTTTTTCTTTAATATATATGCGCAAATATGAATACTGATAAGTTCTAATGCAAACGTAATTGCAATTAATTAAATAGAATCTATTTTTTAAGGGTTTTGTGTTTTAAAGTTACTTAGTGTAATATTCAAATTTAATAGTTCAATAGGGAAAGCTATTTTATTTTTTAATAAAATTTAAGTCTTAATAATAATAATTAGTAAAAAGAATAAGAAGCAATAAAAATTCCACTAATTAGTAAGAAGTTGTGGAAGTTGGTAGTTGGAACATTTCATATAAAGTCAGTTAATTGAGAAAAGAAATTTATAAAATTAATGTATTATATGTATAAGTAATAAAATATCCCAAGAATTTTAGATGAATTTGAGTAAAGTAAAATGAAACGTACAAAATAAATAAGATTAGAATCAACGTATATGTGTCGATAGTTCTGATGGTGTAGTAATGTTATATATATATATATATATATATATATATATATATATATATATAGATGTGTGTGTGTGTATGTGACTTTATACATGTATCTAATTTCGCTTTATGATTATGATATTGGAAGAATTCGGAGAAAAAAGTGTATACAGATATCAGTGGTGCAATTTGAAAAGTTTCTGCCAAGAGAAGTAGAATAAGCATCTCAATTTCATTAAAAAAAACTGTCTAAGTAATTCCAAGTTCACTCTTAGGAGTCTTTCTCTTTATGCAAAATTATACACATACACACATGCGTAAATATATATATATATATATATATATAAATGTAATACGTAATTTTTTTTAAGAAAGGATTACTTTTATTATATATTCAATTCGTTAAACGAAATATATATATATATATATAATCATATACAAACATGTAAGATTTTTCAATATGTATATAGTTATAATTCAAATTTTACAAAAACCAATGGCATTGTTTTCGTTTTCCTCTCAATGGTGAAATTATGTATTATTAATAGGTAGTACATTTTTGTAGTAAAATTATAAAATTCCGTATTGAAAGCCAATTATAGATTCGATAATTCTTTTTCCAGCACGTAATAAAAAGTAAGTAAACCTATAAAATTAGAGATTAATAATATAATCTGCTAATTACTAAATATAACAAAAATTTTAGAATTCATTAAAAGCGGCTAGAAATAAAAAGACTGTCAAACGCAGTTGAGGACTGTCCAAGCAATAGGGTATTCAAAGGGGACAAGATGTCGCAGTCATTTCCACTCGTGACGGTAGCAGTTGTATATACTCAGCGATTAACGACAGGTTCGCGCTTGCGCGCCGAACTTTCGACCGGTCGTTTAACGAGTAAAATTATGAGCTGGCGTTGAAGCTTGACTCGACGCGGATCGATTTCCATGGCTGCCGGTGGCCTCGCCACCTCGCTAGGAATTAACAATCGCTCGGTCTCGACTGGGCCGCCCACCACTTAAGCAAATTAACGGACTTTATGGATTTGCAAGTCCATAAAATTAGCTTTCGTCTCGGCGCTCCCCTCGATTACCAGAATACTACTCATATAACTAGTACTGTAAGTCTATACCGTTTCGTTTTATATTTTTCTAATTTTTTTTCCATGTTTGTAGAAAGGACTAAAATTGCGAGGCGATTTTACGAAGGAGTAAAAATTAACTCGTTATCGATGAAATTCTACTTTCTAATTCTATGACTTCTTACAACTTGGAACTACACTCAAATCATATGCTTGAAAACTTTTAGATTATAATACTTTACCGACATATGCATAATCTTCAAATATATTTTAAGGCTTTCAACACTTTGAGAAATAAAATTAACAATTCGTTAACCAACTATCGCGCGTCTATGTATACAGATAAATACGCGCATAAACAGTATTCTGTATATGTTGATCACAGTTATTCTAAAATCAATTATTCCTTTAATAAGTCTGTGTGTAAACTAAAATTAGTAGAAAATTAATATTTTTTTAATAATATCTTTCATAAGACTTTCATTACGAACGCTATTAAATACGACAATAATTCATTTCGCTGCATATTATTGATTATCCTGCATATTCAAAAATATTATTGAATTTTTTATAGAAATATTTGTTTGAATTATTAAAAAAAAAAAAAAAAATTAGCAAATTAAAATTATCCTAATATTTAATTGATATATATCTTAAACAATTAAAATAAACATTTATTTTTCGTTCAAAATACCTTTATGAAATTAAGAATTTTAATGCTTTTTATGACAAAATTAACACAATTATTTAATATAATTTTTTTTTTATTGAAATTATTAGATTTTATTAAGATACGTAATGAAAGAAGTGAACAGAGAAAAAGTAGAATTTATGCATTAGAATTTGATTTATATGGCTACGCCAGAGTAAGAAATAAATAACTGCCGTAAAAGTAAGATTAACTGTTATAAAAGGACAATGAATTATCGAATTGTTTTATAGAAAAATAATCGATTCATATTTTTTAAAGTATTTATTATATTCATACTTATAAGTAATAAAAGAAAATAATTAACAGTTTCACTACTATTAGTTTATTATTAATATTTTAAATTATATTTAAAAAAATTAATTCAAGGAAAAGTTGAATTTAAGTTTTCATTAATTCAATAATGAATTCACAGTTTTTTTTTCTTAAATTCGTGTATCTATACATAGATCGTGTCATTTCGCACATACATTGACTTAATAATAAACTAATTAACAATGCTCTACTATATAAAACTTTATCTAAAATCGAATTACTCCGATATAGCTCAAATAATTAATTATACAAAAATTCTTAAGTATTAATTGTTTAAACTGACTATAAATTCAATAATTTAAAAAGTAATATGAGTGAAAATTGTGATATTTCAAAAATATAAAAAATCTTTGTTATATTTAAGCCAGCACCAAATTGCGTTTCTTCAAATATAAATAAATATAAATAACAAGAAAGTATTCAGAATTTCAAATTTTTCCCAATGACGAGGATAAGCAAACTGTAGAGTTACCAAACGAATAGCTTGAACTAAATATTCCAAATCTGCCAAAATATAATGCCAAAAACGTATTGAATTAAATTTTAATTATTATATACATGCTTGTCGCTTATTTATTAGCAGATCAAAAAATAAATACCCTTATTAAAATATGTAGATTTTCTCAGAAATACTTATATTTCTAAATATAACTTTTTATAATATTTTAGGTCAAATTCTATTTATGATATAACCACAGTGTTCAGAATATCCAATAGAATCAATCACTTTATTTAGAAGGTATATAACTAATTTAAAATTAGGGACTTCGTATTGCTTTAAAGTTTAACAAATCTTCTTTAGGATCTAGATTCTATATACGATCGAAAAAGTTATAGATATCCTATTTTTTTTATAAGCTTCAAATTGTCATCCTCTTTGGAAAATGACAAAAAATTGTCACAAAAAGTAAAGTACCGAGTATCCGCAATTTAATAAAATTTTAATAAAATAATGCAATTAATTATACTGATAACTGAATTAAAGAGAAATCCAATTTAAAAATGTGCTTAGGGTGCACTGAATATTTATTACACTTTATATTATTATACATATAAATAGTTGGGAGTAAATATTAAAAGACTATTTCCTTTGTTAGTCTCAATAACATATTATAATAGATGAATAACATTGAATTGTCATTAATTTAGAGAAATAAAATAAATATTGAACCTAACAATCTTTGCTCTTGAAATAAATTATAATAATTTTTATTTTAGGATTGATATCTCTTTTATTATTTAATGAGATTTTTTCATTCACAAAACAAAAATAATAATATTTAAATATATTGAGTTAAAATAATCATATAATTTTGCTTAAATATTTCATTCCTAGAATATTTTATTCTAAAAATTTTAAATCAAATTTCAGTTATGTTTACAGTTTATTTAAAATTATTAGCAATAGAATT